ATGATTACCTTTATGGCTTTTACGCCAAGAATGTTCTGACCAACGAATAATGAAACAAGGTGTCTTGAAGCACATTTAAAGGTGAACATAATGCTCAATTACATGAAAACTGAATATGAAGAATTTCTTTTAGTTGCATATGTGAAAAATAAGTTAGAAAAGCTTTGTGCTGTAATATGTTACAAAATCATTCACTAGCTCTTATCAATTATATTTTTTTCAATTAGTTTCAATAGAATCATGCTATGTCATATCTGTCTCGTGTAAAAATTATAATGCACAAATGTCGCGTACCATTACATTTCATACATGGCTAACTTATCTTATCTAACTTATCTAACTACTTATCTTTTTTGAGAGCCATCTTACTCAGTGTGAATTCTCTCATGGTCTTCATTTGTTCTCACAAAATAGCTTGATAACACATTCACATTTGGCACTAGCTTTATTAGCATTGATACACTTTGTATTAAATTAGAACGGCAAAATGTTTTTAATACCAAATTTCCTAGTGAATAACACATTGCACAAGAAGCATTTTGTGGATTCTGTTTCATCAATTTTAAGCAAAATTTGTTCTTCCTATCATATTAGGGGCACAATCTGCTGCACAAGGTGTTATATTTTTCATTGGTATATTATGACATCTAGTAAAAAAAAAAGTAATTTTTAGCTTACTATATATACTTTGGAGGTAGTGGTGCTTTCTAAAGATTTACAGAACTACATTTAAAGGCAAAATTACCTTTATCAATGTGTTTACTTAATTATAATATGGCTGCATTGTCTGCCAGTTGATTATCCATTTGCATGTAGAATTTTCTTTTAATCTGTTCCACAACTGTATTTCAATATCCCACTCATTTTGTCGATTCTTCTGGCTAACAGAATGTTACTTGATGCATACTTATGTCTTTGTCATCTTTTTCCAAAATTTTTTAAAAATGCGTATGGATGGTTGATTTCTTCTCCCTAATAGATTTTCCAGATTTAACAATGTGTAAGAATTTGATCAGCATACGAATGGTAGTTACATTATTGTAGTAAACAAGATTTAACAGTACTCTTTTTTATAAAGTTGAAAGTAATTCAAATCGAATTAATAATGAGCATTATTTTACCTTAAATGTGCCTCAAGAACAACTTGTTTCATTGATTCGTTGGTCAGACATTCTTGGCGTAAAAGCCATAAAGGTAATCATCATCATAGACAGGGATAGGAATTTTAACTATCCTCAGAATACTGACAAGTTTTTTTTTCTTGCTTGCACCCACTCATTTACTATGGGCTGAAATAAAACAATATAAAGTAACATCAAAAACCTTAAAAACTGGAGTAAAATAGACTAAAAATGCATTTTTTAGATATATATGGCACATTTCAATTTACATGGCATTTATAGTAATTCCTACGGCCGTCATTCAGTTTAAGTCCCCCTTAAGTCATAAGGGACTCTCTGGATGTTTAAAAAAAAGTTCTTATTGCTTCAAACTTTAAGATATTATAATTATGCATATTATACATATTCTTTGTAATATATAAATTTCCATTGAATTTTACACAATTTTTAACTTTATTGATTAATTTCTTATGAAAGCTAACAAACCTGTAAAAATTTATCAATACTAAAAATGCATGCGCAGTTTTCAGGAATCATAAATTTAATGGAAACAATGCAAAAAAATTAATACGAGGGACGTTTTAGATACCCAGAGCAAAATCTCAAACTCATAAAAAATGAAATTTACTTCTAATTGTACTTGAAAAATAACTAATAAATACTTTGCATTGAAATATATCATACTGCATTATTATTCTATCACAATTCAGTTTCTTTACTAATTTTAAAAAAATCAGTTTTATATCTTTTATATGTTCTGTAGCAAGCATAACACACAAAACATTAGTAGCCATTATGAATTATTCAAAATGCATAATAATTCCTAAAAAAAGTTTATCAAGATACATTTTCAGTTCTCTTATGAATAGTGCCAGAATCTTACAAATCTGATATGAAAATAATTCAATAAAAATTTAAATGCAAGGGGAATTTTAAAAGCCTAAAGCTTTCAAAAATTTTCAAAAATTAAAATCATATCCACTGTCTATGATGAATGATTACCTTTATGGCTTTTACGCCAAGAATGTCTGACCAACGAATCAATGAAACAAGGTTGTCTTGAAGCACATTTAAAGGTGAAACATAATGCTCATTACATGAAAACTGAATATGAAGAATTCTTTTAGTTGCATATGTGAAAAATAAGTTAGAAAAGCTTTTGTGCTGTAATATGTTACAAAATCATTCACGCTCTTTATCAATTATATTTTTGTTCAATTAGTTTCAATAGAATCATGCTATGTCATATTCTGTCTCGTGTAAAAATTATAATGCACAAAATGTCGCTTACCATTACATTTCATACATTGCTAACTTATCTTATGCATGTATTTTGATTTCTGACCAAGATCATAAGCATAAAGCAAATAAACTTCGCCACACCAACTAAATGTAAATAAAGCTAAAAGCAGCTGTGGTTGTCATTCAAGGGAAGAATAATATCTTGCCATTCCTACAGTAAAAAATAGAATGAATCTGTTGGCTGACATGTGCAAAAAAGTCTGGAAAGCATGATGTGCCAACCATTTGAATGTCCATGTCTCCAGCGAAAATTCTTTATAAAATACAGTGCAATTAAAAAAAAAAGTTATATATGCATCATTTACGTTATTCTTTATTTTGGGAAATGGAAAAAAAATGAAATGTTGAATTTTTGGAAAAAATTTAGACATTTGATCATTCTTTGTCTCCTTAAAACTCTGAATAAGTCCATTTTTGATATGCTCCTTGTGAAGAGTGGGCTCAATTTTGGGAAACGCTGGTCTGAAGACAAACTTAAATTCATCTCAGTTCATATAAAAAAGGATGCTTCACCACAAGTAGTAAAATGTATTTCTTTGGAGACTTTAAGACTAAATATCCTGAAAATGGTTGGCTGCATATTTATACAGATGGATCACAGCTTTTAAGTAAGACATGAGAACTTTAGAGCCGGAGTTTTCTCAAAATTGTTTTCTTTATATGCATTAGCTGGAAAGTATGGTATAGCCTTTGATGGTGAAGTGAAGGCGATCCACATCGCACTTAAACAACTAACTTGCTATCTGAGCAACTATCATATGAGATTTCTCAGTGTCAAGAGCTACTGATTTGAGGTCTTGATGTAAAAATGTTGTTTTGCAGTTGATCTCTGGCCATTGTAATTTACATGGTAATGATCAGGCAAATTTTCTTGCCAAAATGGATGTCATGCTGTTACTCTTTACAAAACAAAAAAGTTTTTTTCCTCACCTCTAAATTACCTGTAGGTCAGTTTATGCAATCGATGTACCAGGATGAATTCCTGTGAAAATTGAAGCCAAATATGAAAACAAATGTCTTTTACCCAATACATCGTATACGTGATAAACCAAGATGGGAGCCAGTGGCTCTTTTCAACTTCTTACTGGCGTGACTGCCTGCATATCTGTGGTTTTTTTTTTTTTTTTTTGCGTTCTCAATGATGCTGCCTACCCTTTGTGGAACAAAAACGCGCCTATGGACCAACATCTGCGTGCCTGCGATGCTTTCCATGGAGATACTGACGGTTCTGGATATTTGGGAGGCTAGAAGACTGTTGGTGTGATAACCTGTAGTTACATTTTGAACTTTTTTATGTTTTTTTACTACTTGTATTTATTTATTTTTTCTCTTACTTATTATTTTATTCTTGTTCATGTGCCCCCACCATCGGAAATTTTAAAAATAGTTTTAAAAATAAAAATTATACCAAATAAAGATGTATGCCCTAAAATTCGTTTTCTTCTATCAGTTGTTTGAGTCAAGTTTTTTTCCAAAATGTTTTCTAAAACTTAAAATGATATAACTTTTTATTATAAGAATAAATAGGAATTATTGCATACATTCTGATTAGAGAATTTACTGATAAAATCCAAAAAAAAATTTTCTAGGAGTGTAGCTCTTGGGAGCACAAACTTTAAAAAATAGTAAATTGCCAATTGGAAGCTTGAAGTTTTAAAATATTAGAATTATTGGCTATTCGAGTGTTCAGGCAGCCTTTGTGTTCTGTAATTATGTCTTAATTAATCAGATAAGTGGTTCAACCTCTCCTCAGTATAATTTGACTTTTAATCTTGTGTTGTTTTATTGTTACTCATTTATTTTTAATAATAATAGTTAAAAATGTTTATTTTTTAAAAATAACAGTTAAAAATGTAAAATTTCTATATTGTCATCTGATGATACTAATGCTAGAAAAACAATGATCATAATACTAAAGCTTCTGGAAATCTGTCCAAAAAAATTTTAATTTTGGCAAACATTTAGAATTTTACTTTGTGTACAATATTTACATCAATGCAGTATTAAACAGAAAATATTTTACTAACCATTTTAAATGCATGACAAACAAAAAATCTCAAGTTAACACTTCAGTATTGCAGATTTGAATTAAAATGCCAGTATGTTTTTAATATTTTTTTTATTTACAAAAAGTCATGTATTAAATTATTTAGGGCAGTAACTTGTTTGTCAATTAGGTAGATATGGCTGCCTAAAATCCTAAAAGGAGGGATGAGGGAGAGAGAAAAGGAATTGACTTGTTCAGTTCTATGCCTCCCATGAAACCTTTCACTTACTGTTTGCATAGCTGTTGTGCAATGGCATTCATAATTATTCATAGCAGTTTGAAGAAGTACAGATTTTTTTTAAGTGAACATTCTTCTCATTAGGAATAGGTGTAATTAAATGTAAAGTTATTATATAGTGTTTTGAAGACAAATATAAATCTCGTCAGCATCTAAATCAGTAATACGTAATATATGACTATAGTATATACATTGATAGCTGATGAGTTGAAATTATTTCATAATTTTAATATGCAGTATTCTATCAGTGTTATATTCTAGCATTTTCTATGTATGTTATTTTATTTTGTAGGTTATGGAAATGTTATGATCCCAAAGCTACTGGTGTTATTCGGTACAGAGACTTTTTGGTGAAATTAGGTGTAAATGCAGATCGATACAGGAAATATATGCCTCCTGAAACCGTGGCTCATGCCATGTGCTGGACAGATAAAAAATCTAAGAACTTAATGGATGACATAAAGTGAGAATATTATAATAAGTTAATTCTCAATATGTTAATAACACAAAATATTAATGCATATACGACTAAAATTAATGGCGAATTTGAAAGTAGAAGGTATGTATTGAATAAAAGGTACAAAATGGGAACATATATCGCTACGCTTTATTACCTGAGAACATATACAGATATAGGAGCATATATAATTTTATTTAAATGAGACTTTTTTCTTCATAAACTAATTAAATGATTATCATGCATTGAAAGTTTTCTGAGTAATTAAACTTCTAATTAAATGATATTAAGAAGCATAATCCATATTTTACATAAGTAATACCTATTTCTAAATAAGAGATAATCTAAACTGTACATAAGTTTATTATGTACTAGCATAAATAAAATAATAAAATTTCTTGATAGTTTTTTGGCATCAGTAACTTGCAAGGTCATTGTAATAATTTAATTATAAACTTGCATATAAACAAAACCAAACACTTTTGTAGTTATATATATTATATAAAACAAATAATCAGTAAATATTAGTAACATAGGAATAACATTTATAACTGCAATCTGTATAACTTTTCCAAAACAGTTTATCATATTATATTTACACTGTTGCCTTTAGCATTTAATACTGGAAACAAACAAACAAAATTTTGCTGCTCTTCAACCTCTAATTGATTTTACAGTTTGTTATACATAATTTCCAAAGTAGAAAATATTCTCTGTTGGTAAAGCTCTTGCTATGCTTAATACTGTTTTTCTTTTACTAAGTCCAGTTCCTCTTCTGTTTCACTTGCTAGTAAAGGTATCAACTTTATATATTTTGGTGGAAAAGATGTAGTCTAAAAAATTTGATGACCATCCTTGTTCATATTATGTTTTAAATAATTTTATGCATGCAGTATAAATATTTTTTGTTTTCAAGATTTTTACAAGCTATAGTAAGAAACTGAAACTGGCTTCAAATGAAGTAAGAGGTCCTCGACATTTCGTCTGATAACCATAGTGTTCTTGTCTACTGCATCTTAACTTTTTTCCACGATCTATATGAAAATTTGCCAATTCTAGATTTCAAGGGAGTTGTATATTGAGTTACATGCTTCAGATGGCATATTTGAATCAGTTCCATTCTGTTCATTAAATGATACACTTCCTGCACTGTTCTAACATGAGTTGTTTAAAATGTTTAAATAATTTTACCTCTTTAAGACTCTCCTATTTTTTGTAATGGGCAATTAAAATCTCATAAAAAGCATTACAGCTTATCTTAACCTTTGATTATAATATATTTCTCATCATTTAAATAAATAAATTATTTTAATCAATGATCTTGTAACTGTAGTGAATTGTACACTTGTAACTCTAATGAAGAATTTTACTAAAAATTCTTATTTTATCTTTGCCATTTTAACAACTGTATGAATTCTACAATTAAACTTGTAAAGATTATGTTAATTTTATTAACAGTTAAATTTTAAGTTCCTTTCCTGTCGATTCTTAACTTCAGCTTACTACTTCTGGCCAGAACGTAGTTTTAGAATCAGGTCTGAATACATAATGAAGAAGAGCGGTACTTAACCGCGTAGTTCTACTTGCTGAGTTAGAGAGAATCAGAGATTCTCTCTAACTCAGCATTAGCGCGTGTCCGCCTTTTTGGCTACTCTCTGTCAAGCTGTTATTACGCTCGGCTGCAGTTTAGCGCATGTCCGCCTTTTTGGCTACTCTCTCTCAAAGCTATTATTACGCTCGGCCATACTCAGGCTCTTGATAGCTTTGCAGTCATCTCGTGTTTAAGGAGCCAACTACATTAAAACTTTGATAGCTTCGGCTATATCTCTTTTAGTTTAGAATGGTTTTAGTTTACTTCTTAGCCTCTTAAGTTCAAGCCCAAGCATCGGCTTTATTGTACACTCCACGACGGAGTTCTGTTAAATCTTATCTGAATAATAAAGGATCATTTACCCTTCCATCTTGTTGTTTCTTGTTACACGAACTCAAGCGATTATTTGCTTATCAGTTCTTAAGGGTCTTTACTTTCTTTAGTGACTTAGAATCACACTGTGAGGAATCCCTATAAACTTTTGACAAAAACTGAATCGTAGCAGCATCTAAATAACACTACATGATTAGATGAATAAATTTTCTAACTGCTGGAACTATCTGATTCCATATACAGTGAACTATTTTCTTTCCCTATGATCTTCATATACTCAATCTAACCACAGTGAGCTATGCTTTACATCCACAATCTCTTCTTATACATAAAGTTGTTATTTCATTAATTTGTATTTCAAGTAGTAAGCAGAGCACAGATTTTTCAATTCAGATTAAAAGATAATAGAAAAGTTACATGCAACATTGCTTTTGCAATTGTTGATACTAAGAAATTAATTTTTTTTTCGGTTGACTAAATTTCATCAACAAATTTTTTCATTTGGATAGCAGCACTTATGAACAACATGTTATTGCAATATTCTTTTATATATGTTTTTGCAATGACAAAACAAATAGTTAGAACATTAAAACTTTTGCAGTCCACATAAATTAACTCTAATTTGATGTAATTATGCATTTATTATTATTATTGTAACCAACCCACGATGCTTACCAAATATTCTCATTTCTGAAATATGCCCCAATAAAAGAAGCCCAAGTTCTAACCCCTGCCATAGAAATGGTCTTACTATTGATAGATCAGAAGTGTCACTGGGGAAAGATAATCCTAACAAGTGAAAAATTTTTCATTTGGTGGTTCACCTGGACTGAAAGTAGGTTTACTGTCTGATAACCCTGTTGAATTTTTGATTTCTGAAATATGCCCTCCTAATAAAAGAGATTGTCAACCCCTGACATAGAAAATGTTCTCACTGTTGATAGATCAAAAGTGTTGGTGGGGAATAATAATCCTAACATGTGAAAAACATTTCAATGTTAGGTTCATTGGACTAAAAGCAGGTTTACTGTCTGATAACCCTGTTGAATATTTGGTTTGTTTCAGTATGTATTATCTTAAAAAATAAACTACTGTTTTTAATTGTATTTTATTTATTTTGTATTACTGCAGATTAGTCTGTTTGTATTATTCATTTACGTAGAAATCTTTTCTTTACTTCCTTTTTTGTTTAAAAAATTCAGTTCAGTTGTGTGAGTCAAATGCTGAGACATCAGCTATGGCTAAAGAAACAAATCTCATAAAGCTGTAACTTAACCATAAGAGTTATTGTGGCCTATACATTCAAATGAAACAATTAGTAATTGTGTCAAGTGTTTAAAAAATCTGTTTTCATGCAGCTTTTGAAATATCTGTATGAGATTTTGGATATGGTCCTAAAATTTTTGCTTGTAGTGAGCATGTTAATAATGCTTATACATGCAAAAATATTAAAGATTTTCACCGAATACTATGAATTAACTCATTTTTTTCTACCTGCACATTAATAGGTTTGAGCAAAGAACTCGAAGAGCTGCTGTAGAAAATAGAGATGATCCTATTATTCAAGGACTTCCACTAGAAGAAGTGTTAAGCGTTTTTCTCGATAGAGTAAGTCCTGAGACTAAGATCCTTTAGATTCATGAAGCAGAATGTTATATCTCATAAGCAGTAAATTTCTTTGATTTTCATTAATTGCATTAAAAATTTAGTAAATAACATGCTCAAATTATATTTTTTACTATCTGTCCTAATTTCACATTTTTTTGTGTGCAGTTAAGTGCACCAGAATTTTGTGAATGCTTTCCATTTATGCCTTTTTTAATTTAATGTAAGAGTTAAGTGTTCTCTTTCGTTTTTATGCATTTTCCTTTCCTATTCTATTAAATTACATTCTAAAATTTATTATTTGTTATGCAGCTTCAAAGGCAGGCCAAGGTGCTGAAAAATGCTTTTCCTTTATTTGATTATGAGAATACTGGTGAAATATCCTTATCAGACTTTCGTAGGATTATAAATTTCTTTGTTATGCCAATGTCTTCAAATTTGTTTAATCGAATTATAAAAAGGTTACTTTTTTAAGTTTTCTCTATTTGCAAAATCTTTGTTTAAAAACTTAAATCATAAAATAAATGAAACTCTATATACAAATAATCAATAAATATTGGGGCATCAGAAAATATGTATTAAGAACTTTACTTTGCACAGTCTTTCCATTTTTCTTTAAATGAAAGATAGATACATATGCAAAATTTAATTTGGATTAAATAATTCGGATTTTTTACATAGAAATATTGATTAACAATCAAAATTTAAAATAATGATTTACATGATGCAGAATATGGTAATTTTAAATGAATCATGATAATAATAAGGCTGAAATCAAACCCTAATATAGCTTAATATTTAATTTATTTCATTTCACTTTCTCCTGAAAATTATAAAATATGAACATTTTACTCCTCCCCCATAAGAATAAAAAATACTTTTTTTAAATACATGTCATTACTTTTGATATAATACTTTCTTCCTTTTTTTGTTTAATGAATATCTTTCATTCATATTCGAATGAGGGAAATAACTTATAAGCAAATTCCAGTTCATTAGCAAGTTATGAGAGTTAATACTTTTTCTCGTATGTCTAATATTTTGAATTGTCATCTGATTTTAAACAAGCATTCCAATTAAACTTTCAAAATAAGCAAAATTCATTCTTAGTTTGGATTTAATTTCAAATGAAAAATAACTTTATAATCTAATAAGGATTTTTTTTTCCCCATCAGAAGCTAGTATTGGATTATTTGCATCCAATAAAAGTAGGTCTACATCTAATTGTTCTTTGAAATACAAAGAACGTTTTCATGAGAAAATGCATCCAAATTAAGGTTAAATTTCATTAATTTTTATAGTTATTAACTAATTTTTTGAAGTTTACACTTGTTTTAAATATTTTTATGGTTGAGCTATAATTCTGTATGGAAAATTTAAGTGTTTAAATGTATGAAAAAGTAGATTTATGGATGCATTAAATTTATTTTTTAAAGTGCATCCTCAGTTTTTATCAAGTAATTAAATGTCTAATTATTAAGCTCTTATTAAATAATTGAATCATGTTACTTTCCAGATTTAAATGCTCATATGGAATCTTAAGCTATGTCTGTATTGCAGGTTAGATATACAAATTCCTGCTAGCAAAAAGCTACGTTATCAAGAATTTTTGGAAAATTTCTGTAGTAAAAGTGCCTGTGATAAAAAATGTGGAGAAAGGTATTACATTTTAAATCTTAATCCATAATTTAAATACATTTGCTAGTTTGTAAATACCCTTCATCGGGCATATATTAAGATTGACTCATTTTATAAGACTGTATGTGTTATAGCAGTTTAGAAATACATAATTGTAAAAGATGGCAGAAAAAGAACCCCCCCCCCAAAAAAAAAAAAAAAAAAAAAAAAACTGTGCACATATTGTAAAGGAAAACGAAACAGTAAAAATCAGTTGTACACTGGCCAGTGATTTGAACTACACATCTAGCTAAATGTGTCATCTAATGTTGAAATGACTTATTCACACGTATCTTTATTTAATGAACAAACTAAAAGTCTAAAAAATTTACTCATCATCGGATAGAACAAAAAATAATTTTTAATGGAATTTATATGAGATTTTTAACGCAACTTCTGATTTTTTGGTAAATTTTTTATAATTGCACTTTTTTTATTACTGACGTTTATGATTTTAAAACTTTACCATCTAAAAATGTATGGGTTGCAAATTTTTGAAATTTTTGTGCAATATAGAATGAACTCCTTCCTTTTTTTTAGAAAAAGAATAATGAAAAGATATTAATTGGGCAGTTTTCTACACTTTTTAAAAAGATATACTACAATATGAAACAGAAGGGGAACTATCCTTTCTTCAGTTCCAAAGTTATGATGTCATTCCATCACATTTTCTTTTTCATTTAGATTTGTTTAAAATTGATTATATATATTATATATATATAAGGTCTCGTGAACTATGATCCTGCTGGAAATCAACCTTTGCAAACTGGTTCCATATGCAAGTAGGATGGACAAGTATTCAAATATTGAACTGGCCGACATGCACCTCCCATATGGAGTTGCAGACAGTAAAGTGACATGCCACTTTGCACTTGTACCAGGAACATTTCCCCCACAGGCTTGCTCCTCATCATAGATCTTTGAGATCCCTGAAATGAGAAAGACGAGGACACCAAAGAATGAGGAGAATGTCTTATGTCTGGTAGAAGGCAATCCGAGTGTGAGTATTCGAGCAGATTTGTGCCAACCCATTGTATGGAATATACTGTCAGCAAACCAACTACATTCATATTATTTGTAATGCATTCAATCATTGGAGCCTGTGTGTTGTCCACTCTGGAGGAATTTTGCTATTTATTATCTTCAATAGAGTGGGATAGACAACACATCTGTATTTTTCACAGATGAGGCAATTGTCACAAGAGAGGAAGTCTTCAACATAACGCCCATTTGTGGGCTTTTGAAAAGCTCTGTGATATGTAAACGTGTGCAGTTCATCACTGTTTGGGCCAGCTGTGGATGGCAGGGCATATTTGATGTTCCTACAGCAAGTCCTGCTTGAACTTATTGAAGAAGCAAATGTTTCTTAGTCATTGTGCCATTCATTGTGGTTCTAACATTTCACCATTGACATCTACCATTACCTAAATGTTACATTTAGTCAGCAGTGGATAGATTATAGTGCTCCAATTCATTGACATGCTAAATTGCCATGCCCTTCATGCCTGGGCTTCTTCTGATAGGGTCAAATGAACATTAGTATATGAGAACTCCTTGATTCAGTTGAAGATGTAGATGCGTGCATCTCTATAGTTGCCAGGAAAATGTAAGATGCACTAAACTCTTTCAGAACAATAGGTGAATTCTAGATGAACGCTACTGTGAAGCCTGTGTTTGCTACTGCTGGTCAGAACTTCAGACACCTTCTGTAAAATTTGTGCATACAACTAGTGTAAAAACGCCAACATGAAACTTGTAATTAAATAAATTTCTGTTACACTAACATATTGCTGATCTTTTTCTTTGCTTCCTTTAACCAAAGCTTGAATAGAAGGCATTTCATACCGTGCAATGCTGGGGGATTCTGAATCATCTTTATATTCCCTACATCTCCTACAAGTTTGTACCACTGATAGTGAATCACCATGTATATGAATCTCTTTGTGAATTATTTAATTCTTAATGTATCACTAAAAGGATGAAAATGGAACAATTTTTTAAAAGCTTTTTAAAATAAGTTTTACTTAAAACTCATATAATCATTAATGAACTAAAAAGAGAAACATATTTTTTCATATAGTTTAATAAAAACAAAAGGTTTTCAAAAATTCTCTTTGCAAAATTTATATACAGTTTTATATCACCATCGATAAAAGCGTGCATTTCTAATTAACAAATTAAAATAATCAAAATGCATTGTCAAAAACTATTATTTAGAAAGTGTATCAAAGGCACCTCATGCTTTTATTATTCATGATAGAAAATTGTAGATGAATTTTGAAAGAAAACTATTTTATTTAATCTCTTGTTCCCATCAATCTATATGATAAATTTACTCCTTTTAATTTATTAATGATAAGAGTTTTAAATAAAAGCTTCTGTTATGAAAACTTTTTATTTATTTTAATTTGGATTCCTTCCCATTTAAAAGAAGACTAGTGAGAGGCCTATCACCCAGCCAACCAAATTCACATATTATCATTGATGGGGAAGAAAGAATAGAATTATTTCTCAAAAAATCTCAATAATTTTTTTGAGAAATAATTCTATGAAATCAATGCTGTTAATGTAACATTTGCAGGATGTTAACTTTAAATATAACAAGAAAGCAAAAGCTTTTTTTTAGTGCTATTTGGAAGTTCTGTTTGAAAAGCCAGTAGAAGTAATTCACGAACTAAATCATAAGGTTACAGAAGCTTCTTAGTACTTAAAGCAAAGTAAAATAATAATAATATGGTAAGCTGATAAACCTATGTACTCTTAAAATGATGGAAATTGTATATTGAAAAATGAATTGGGGAAATAAATTTCAGTTTCATTGGCAAATTGTATTGTACAAAAATTGATCGCCACTGCTAAGAGTAAAAATCTGGGTTCTGGAAATTATTCAGAATTGAAACTTTTTATTAAAAATTTGTGAATTATAGGCAATAAAAAGTATATGCACCTGAAAATGTGATTTGGGCTTTAGCAAGAATGTGCTAATAATACACAAAAGTAACAAACTGAAAAATTCGCGAAGGTTTACTGCATTAAAAGTCTGAATCTCTTAAACTGTCTTTCTTCTTCTTCTTCTTTTTTTTTTTTTTTTTTTTTTTAAATAATAACTACTATGATTCTCAGATTTTTATTACATTTCTTTATTCTGATACATTTATTGTATAAATTTCTCCAAAAAAAACCATAAGTTTATTGATTTTTCTTCTCTATATATATTTTTAAGGAGTCTTTTGAAGTTGGATTGCTATCCAGTTGTTCAGCGTATCAAAAACAGAGTTGTGAACCCAGATTCCCGTCTTCGATCTGTATTTACAAAAATTAATCCTGTATGTATGTTTTTAATAGTGTGAAAATTTAGTATGACAGTGAGATTATATGTAAACTGCTTTTTGCATAATTATTCTTTCATTTTTATGAAACTCTTATAAGGTAAATCTTAAATATTGATGAAGAAAGGATTAATTTTTTATTGTAAAATTGTTTCTCTAAATTTATACCTGCCCAATTTGAATATTAAAAATAGATTTAAAAAAAAAGAATATATTTCTGTGGTACAAACATTACTGATCCCATTTTCTTATATATGATCATTTGCATACTGAATCATGTCTTTAAAACACTAAATTCTAGATTTATCATAGATATTATACAATTTTATGAATTAATGTACTATATTTCGGAGCTGATTTAGTGAAAATTGAATAGAAATACAAATTAAATATTTAATTAAATTTCAGATGTAATTTTAAGTCCTGAAATCGTACAGGATTTAGAAATATTTTTATTAAAGTGTTTTGTGTTTTAAAAATTACTTCTCTTCATGTAATTGTTTATAAAACTTCTTTTATTTGTCATGCTTTGTTTTCATCTGTGATTTTTTGAGCAGGCACTTCTCAAATTTCCTTACTTTCATGTTTGCCAAGTCCCGTAAAACAGTTGAAAAGTGTGCATTTGGTGTCTGAGTGATCTCTTGTACTATTTTATTATAGATTTGATTCAACGAAATTTAATTGCTTGAAACAATGCAGGAATGAAAAAGGCTACCAGGTTTGTTTTGTAGCTTCAAATCCCATGGGCGGAATTTTGAAAATCAACTGCAAGTGAATCTCTTAATTATTCTTCAACAAAATGTTTTATGGGTTTTTTTTAACTGCAGCTGTTGCAATTTTTTTTATTTAAATTCATAAAAGTATAGCCAACTTTAATTCATCTCATCATAAAATTTAAACTATTTAATTAAGTATTAATGTATACATCAGAATCATATTATAAATAATTTCATAACTATAGTCCTGAGTAATGCATTATAAAATGAATTTAAGTCACTATGCAATGCAAAAACCTGCCCCAAAACTCTCGGTTTTTCATATTTCAAGGTTGACATGTTCAGTATGCATTTAGTTGTAGGTTTTGAAATTTCTAACATGCTGCTTGATCTATCCCCTGAAAATACCACCCTTGATCTGTTTTATCGAAATTAGCCATTTAATAAATTATAAGTTTTTTTTTTTTTTTTTTTATCATCATCTTAAATAAATATCATGATGCAGTATTGAGAATTTTGATTTTGGCCATTTTTAACTTTGTACTTGTGAATCAAGGGGCTGTTAACCAAATGATATCTGCAGTCAACCACTGAAAATGCTGCTAAACATATAATTGGAAAAAAAATTGGCTGTTAACCACACTTTAAGTCATGAGTTTTTTTTTTTTTTTTAAAGATTTAGCTTGGTAAAGCTTTAGATTGGACTTCTTTGGACACACTGCTTTAAACTTCTTTGGTCAGAGTTTTCATACTCTCTAATTCTCCATAATTAGATCTGAATTTAAAAAAAAAAAAAATTATAAATTAGTTCCTTCTTCTGTGGAACTGACTGTGCCAAAGTTTTTGGGTTCTGCATAAGACAATAATATTATTTTGTATTCTCTAAGAATTAGATAGTTAAAGCATTTCTTTTGCCTTTATGGTCATGGTTTTATTGGGGAGGTTGTTATAGAGAAGTAGGCAGCTGTAGATTTGTGATCTGTTAACAGAAATATGTAAAAATTATGGACTGTATTACTAAAATAACAGTATTTTATGAGTTTTCTATATTTATTTACAGGATAAAGTATGGCAAATAACAAGACCTGAGTTAAAACATGCTATAGAAATAGGACTTGATTTTAAATTGTCAGATGATGATTTTAAAGAATTAATGACACTTTTAGATCCAGGCAACACAAATGTAATTAATTGCATGGATTTTCTTAGACTTTTTGATGAGACGTCTGACAGAAATTTTGTTGTAAGTAATTTTTCTCCTGTTAAATTTTTTTATTGTGATGAGTTTATCGTGTTAATATTTAAAGTGATGAAAAACTGTCATTATTTTTTCATTGCTTCTTTTTAAATGATTTTTTTGATACGGATATTTGTATTAAATATATTACCTACTCATTTATAAAGAGATTTACCCCATGGCTTTGGCAACATGTAAAGATTTCTTTCTGACCTGGCTTCTTCTTCTTCTTCTTTTTCCTTCTTTTTTTTTCTTTTTTTTTTTTCTTTTTTTTTTTTTTTTAGTTGTAGGAAAATTCTTTTTCTAAGTTCTAGGAACAATTCTTTTGAAGCTTCCAAAAGGCCAGACAAATCTATATAAGCAGTCATGTTTGAGCTATAACAGTCAGATTATCTATTGATTTATTAGAGAGACTGTAGTTAAGAAAGTTAGCTAAGTTGAATTTTAGAGTTTACTCTATGAATGATATTGGTAACTTGCAATATTTCTTGTATCTTAAGGCTGACTTCTGTTATTGCTGTGTTAACTATGAATTATTTATTGTGGTTATTTTTGGAGTACTGTGTTCTCTTATTAATTACCAAAATTAAAGTCTTTGTGCTCATCTGAAGTAATTATTTGAAATGATTTTCACAATTCGATGGTTGGGTCATTTATACAGGACTGAAGACACAAACCCAATAAAACAACTCGCATTTACCAAACCTATGGGAGCTAAAAGGCGAGGAGGGCCACCAATTAGGTGGTTTGATGCTGTTGAGGATGACATTGATACCATACATAGGGGAGACTGGAGGAGTATCGCCATTAATAGGTCCAGATTGTGTAGACTGATTGAGAGGGCCTTGGCCAGCAGTAGGTTGTAGTGTTGTTGGTGTCTAATAGTGGACTGTATGGGGCAATAATGTCTTTTAGTAGTTTATTAAATCCCAACAATAATATATGCGATACATTACGTAGAACCAAAGTTCTCGACAATTGACACTGATGCGACTTGGTGCCTGCAGATGAATGAACTAACATTTTCCCGCCTAGTTGGCAGTGTTCAATTTGAATTGCAAGATCGCCAAGTTTGGCGCAATTACAGTTAAAGGCAGCAACATTCTGCCCCCCATTGAATGATTTCATTCAACAATAATATATAAGAAAATATTAATTCAGTTATAACAATAAATATTTACTTTACATAATATTCCGCTGTTCTTTTAAAACACAGCAATAAACATGCATGATAATGACAGTACAATCAACTAAATATACTAAGTACATACTAAATAATTCAAAAATATCAAGCTATTACACTATTTCTAAGTTCACAAGGAATTCAACTGTTTACATCAAAATAGATAATTTTGTTACTGGTCGTTTCACAGACCATTTGAAGACCCAACATAGAGTAGACACTGTTCGAACAGTGACTACTCTATGTTGCCATCAGTTCCAGGGAAAACCTTTACAGTACAACCAAGAAACCATTTATTAACAAGTAAATGATCCTCTTTTATCAAAACTACAGAATTAAGTTTAACATTATGTTTTTTAAACTGCCACTTGTTCTTTGTTGGAGTTGATTTAAGTAGTTATTGCTCCAGTTTTCCCAAAAACCTTGGACAATTTGATATTTTTTTGCCAGCAGCTTAATCTGTTCTCAGGCTTTTCTAGAAGTTTTGGTTCTGGAATCGCTGTAATAGGTCTAAAAATTAAAAAATGACCTGGAGTTAGAGCTACAGTATAATCGTCATCTGCTGGTAATGGAGTGATGGACCTAGAATTTAATATACCTTCTATTTGAAGAGTCACTGTCACAAATTCTTCATACATAAGTTTTGTTTTACAACATGTTTAAGGTGATACTTAAATAATCTGACTCCTGCCTCCCAAAGTCCTCCAAAACTGGGGGCTCTAGGAGGCAAAAAGTTCCATTTTACTTCTTCAGAAGTCAGGTAATTTCCTAAAGATTCATCTGGGTTCTTAACAAGATTATACAATTTAGTCAGTTCTCTACTAACACCAACAAAATTTGTTGCATTGTCAGAAAATATGGTCAAGCTTCTACCCCTACAAGAGGATTTTTTTAATGCAGCAATGAAGGCATCGGATGACAAGTCTGATACTAATTCAAAATGTACTAGTGACAAAACAAACAAAAATAGCAACATGTATCTTTTGAAACTGTCCCTTTCATTGATGTGTATACTTTATATAAAATGGGCCACAAAAATCGATTCCTGTGCAATTAAAGGGTCCACTTATTCTTACCTGCTCCTGAGGAAGATGTCGCATTATTTGCTCAACTAGAATTGGTTTACCCCTTTTATAAGCTACACAATTGTGCACAATTGGTCATGCCTGTTTCCAACCTCTAAGAGGCGAAAACGTTTGTCTGACACAATTCAACAATGCTTGTGGACCTATATGCAGATATTTCTTATGATAATGTTCCATTACTAATTTAGTGAACTGATGATTAGGTGGTAGAATAATGGGATGCTTCTGTGTGAAATTTAAATTGGCATTTTGGAAACGTCCCCCTACTCTTAGCAACTGAATTTCATCAAAAAATGGATTCAATAATTTCAAACAGCTTTTACCTGTAACCTGAGATGTCCCCTTCAGGTTTTTAATATCTTCCAAAAATATTTCACTCTGAGTTACCGGAATTAGATACAACTCTGCCCCATTGACTTCCTCTACTGATAAAATTCCACTTCTTTTTTCTTGGTTCCGATAGTTATTAATGAACCTGAAAATATAACTTACAATATGCAATAATTTAGTATAGTTATTTGTAATATTTAGAATATTATAAAACAGGTCATTAGTTAATGGGTCGACTAGAAAGTTTTGCAAATGAGTTGAATTAAAGTCAAATTGAAAGTCATTATTCACTGAAGTAGTTTGATTCAGCTGCTTTAGTTCCTTGCAGTAAATCACATCCAAATCTGACTGAGACACAGTTATGTACAAATCAACTTTTTGAGAAGGAAGGTCCATTCCACCAAAGTTTAAGATGTTCAACTTGATCTGGGCTAACACTTCTTGAAATCAAGTCAGCAAGGTTTTCTTCTGATTTCGCATATCTCCATTGAAACTTGTGTATAAGTTGCTGAATTTTGGCAACTTGGTTAGCTACAAATGTCTTTAATACATATGGAGAATTCTCAATTGATGCAAGAACTACAGATGAGTCACACCACATGTATATCTTATCCAATTTTAATTTAAGTGCACCTTGTTCATTAACTGCGAGAGTAACACTGCACTATAGAGTTCAAGTCTTGGTATGGAATCTGATTTTAATGGTGCGACTCTTGATTTACTACACAAAAGAACTGGAACCTGACTGCAATATACATTTGGCATAAATGTATATTGCAGTTGCCAATAAGCCAATTCTGAAGCATCAGAAAAATTGCTAGACAAAATTTTTCGATTAATAATTACACCATTAATTTTAGGCATCAACATGATGAAATTCTTCTACTAACAAGATTTCTTTTCTGGGAGGACATTATTCCAGCCAATTTTTAAAAGCCAAAGCTTCTGCATAAAAATTTTGGCTTTCGTAATAGCTGGTCCAGTTAAACCGAGTGGATATAAAATCTGTCTCTTAGTATAGTAATCATGCAATTTTGTAGTCACATTGAATGTGAAAGAATCTGAAACTGGATTCCATAAAATACCCAACACCTTCGTTTCAGTTCTTATTTCATTGGAGAACAAATAATCTTCAGCCTTAGTATCAACATTAATCAGCAATTCCCTCGGATTAGCGAACCATTTACGAAGCTTCATGCCTCCTTGACTTAAAAAAATTCACCAACTGATTTTGCAGTTCTTAAGCTTTTCTAAATAATCTACTCCTGATCATCATCCATATAAAAATCTTGAAGTGTGATTGAAACAGCTAATAGGAATTCCTTTCCTTCATCTTCAGCTAATTGTCGTAGGACTCTAGTAGCAAGGAAAGGGGCACTAGTAGTGCCATATGTAATGGTATTCAGCTTATTCTTGATATTATTCTTGATTTCTTCTTAGGACTTTTCTTCCAAAGAATTCGTTGAAATTTCCTCTGGCATGGATCTATTAAAATTTGACGATGCATTTTTTTTTTCTATCAGCAATAAATATGAAAATCTGTTTCCTTAACCTTATGATGGAAAACAAATCTTCCTGCACTATGCCTTCATTCAGTAACTGCTCATTTAAAGATGTTCCAGTTGATGTCTTTGCAGAAGCATCAAATACGTCTCTCAGTTTTGTTGAACTCTTGTCTGGACAATATATTCCATGATGCAGAATGTAATATGATGGTTCCAACTTTACATCTTCGTGTACTTCTTCCATATGGCCTAAAGTTTCATATTCCTTGAGAAAATCTTGATGTAAGGATAGTAATTTTGGTTCCTTTAGCAGGATGTAAGGATAGTAATTTTGCTCCATAACAAATTTAATCTCTTTAACGCATTGACTTTAGAATTTCCTAGATGTAAATGTCCTTCACTCTTCATAGGCATCTGGACAACATACCTTCTATTCTCATCTCTCGAATGTGTTCTTAAGAAATGATTCTCACATAATAATTCTTTCTGACTCGTCACAGGTTTATTTTCATCTATCCTCTAAATTTCCCAAAAATTATTTATGCTTTGATTCAAATCGTCCAATTCTTGGATTAACCCACAACATGCTGAATCTTCTTGCTTCAAACTGCTATCCATTTTTCTGCTGATAATATAACCAAATACTGAATTCTGAAGTATAAGGCTAGAGTTTTTCAGTGCAAGTTTTTTGCATTTTAATAAACCAAAAAAGATTTCAGCACCTATTAGTAGATAGATCTTTCGTGGCCTAACAAATTGAACAGAATTCGAATTTCCTAAGGACGTAATATCCAATTTCTGAGTAGATGTAATATTAATTATTTTAGGCAGTATTAAAAATTCTAAGTTTTTGTATTATTATTCTTCTTTATTAAGGACAGTGGCATTAAGTTTTTTTTTTTATATTGAAAGTTCTATCATTTAAACAAGAAACCGAAACATGAATTTTCTCGCGATTTAAATAAAGTCTGGTTGACCATTCAACAGTCATGAAGTTACACATCAAACCGCTATCAGCAATTGCTCTGCAAGGACAAAGTTCACCATCTCTGTTCCTGATGTAAATTACAGCTGTCGCCAGCAAAACAGTTTAGAAATTTTTTTCAGCGTAGGAGTTGGTGAGCGAGGACCTCTGAGAAGCTACAGGTTGGAGGGGGGGGATCTGGAGCACAGGAATCCTTCTGAATTTCTTTTTGCGCTTCGATGGCAGGTGTTTTCAGCTGAAGAAAATGCAACAGGCTATTATGGTGCGAATTGCATAAACTGCATGAAATGTTTGATTTGCATTCTGTCACTTTATGCAATGGTTTAAGGCAATTAATACAAAAATCGAATTTTTTTAGTGTCTCAAAACTGTTTTAAAAATTCACTGCTAAATTTTTAAATTCATCACACATATAAATTTGATGCGTCAATTTACATAATTTACAATTGTTGTTAGAAGGTTTGTTTTGAAATTACTAAAAATCCCTTTGCCTTGGATACTTGAAGTGTAAGACTTGAAATTTGAATTGGTAATTTTACTTGTGTTTTCGAGAACCTGACATCTTTTTTCAAGAAATGCGACAAAGTCTGCCCATTTAGAAGACTCAGTAGTGTTCAAACACATTTCGAATAATTTACAAGTTTCCTTAACTAATTTAAGGAGAATTAAATTTATCAGTATGAGACCCGAAAATGTATGCCTTTCAATGCTCCGATGCTTAAGAGCTCTAATATTTTGAGAAATATTATCCAATAACTTGCTGGGCACAACCGCCAATTCATTATTTATTTTTTTGCGTTAATGGAGTTAATATGTCTGTCAAAAATTAAGCTTTTATTTTCAAAGGGATTTTCTATCGCTTTATACGAGTATAATGATTGAAAGGATTCATCTTTTGTTTCAATCTGTTTTGCTACACCACATAGCGCTGATTTCAAATAATAAAGCTTTTCAACTTCTAATAAGTGAGAGTTGTTAGAAATTGTGCTAGTAAATTGAATTTTAAAATTGTTCCAATCCTGATGTTGGCAAAGATATATCCAGTAATTTAATTCTACTTCCAATATCCTTATCAGTTGAATAACTGTGACTTTCAATTACCGGTTGCTATCTTACAAAAGTTCTTCACTCACGTTTTTTAAAAAACATTATTCTTTCTTTATATTGTTCTGTTCTATTAAGTTAACCTTCCAAATCATCAACTGCAATAATTTTTTCGATTTCGCTATCTATAAATATAAGGCTTGCTCTTTAACCACTAACTGAGCAAGTAGATCTTCAATAACCTCACTCTTTGGATTTGAATTTTCAGTTTCGATTTGGAGTTTATCTAATCGCTTCATAGTAATAGTTTGCAAAGGTGTTCTTTTTTCCTTTATTTTTTCTATTTCCATATTGAATAGTCAAATAAAACAATTTTTCAGACAGTTCGAAATTTAAAGCAAGTATAAATACTATAAATTAAAAAAGCAATGATTCGAAGATTTATTATACGTTTTAACCGAAATTGTAGAAAAAAGTTACTTACCCATTTTTCTCAGGATAATGGCAAGCAGATCACTATATAATGATAACCAGAGACAAAGAATTCTCAAGCGAAAGGTCATCCATATCCAACGAGACAGAGAATTCTTAACAAAACAAAAGTTACACAGAATCTTCACAAGCCAATTCCAAGCTGCGGCTCGACTTACCAAAAAATGTTTGTGTCTAATAGTGGACTGTATGCGATAATAATGTATTTTAGTAGTTTTATTAAAACTCAACAATAATATATGCGATACATTACTTAGAACCGAAGTTCTCGACAATTGACACCGCGACTTGGTGCCTGCAGATGAACGAACTAACATTTTCCCGCCTAGTTGGCAGCATTCAATTTGAATTGCCAAGTTTGCCACAATTACAGTTAAAGGCAGCAACATATGCCAAAGCCTTTGTTTTATTATATGACAAGAATCAGTGTTTATATTGAGTCAATTATTTACTAACAAAAATTCAAATTATGATTTATTGCTGATGGCTTACATTTCAACAAAATTTGGTTCTTGAAGTATTTTGCAGTTTTTATTCTGTTTGCAAATCATATGACTATATGAGTAAATTTTTCTAATTATGAAGTTTAATTGAAAATTTTTATGGAGTTGCACATCTGAAACTTCAGCAAAAATATTTAGAACTTATTAATATTTATGGCAATATATTTAGATCATCTATAGGGCTTAATTTTTAAATTATAAATGCCAGAGGGCTGTACAAGTTTTCAGAAATGCAAAGAGAAATAAATAAATATAATAATAATGAGTAAAACAGTAAACAATTTATAATTGAAATTAAGTAAAGCATAAAATATTAATTTGATAATTCGAGGAATGATGAACTATATTATTAAAGTAATAAATCTTTAAAATGAAATGAATTCATAAGCACTAAAGGTGACTAAATTAATGGTAACAAAGCAGGGTGTATGTAGGACACATCCACACACACACCCCAAAAAAAAGAGAATGATAAGATTTTGAATAGCATTCATCATGGTCCTATAAAATAATTTCCTTATTTTGGTTTCCAGACCAAAAAAGGTTCCTATTTGGCCAGACAGACTACACAGAGTCCATAAATATTCTGAATCTTTCTGAAGCCTTATCATTTAAAAATAGAGGATTGTTATTGAAATTCTCAAGTTTTCATTAGCATTTTGTTTTTCCAAAGGAGGCATATTCTTCTTAGCTAGTGATTTAAATATTAGTTTTACTGACTGCTAAAAGAAATGTTAGATTAGTAACAGAATTATCTTAGAATGTTTATATTGTAACTTTATTACATTACAAACTATTGAAGTTAATCTTGCTTGGAGCTTTGGTGTGCTTTGCTTGGAATTACTATTTCACTCGAAAATTAAGAAGTACCAAAGCCCGGCTCTAATTGAATTAAAAGTCAAGCTCTTTCAAGTCAGTTTTATTATTCAGTTTCCAGCCCTTTCAAGTCAGTTTTATTATTCATGCTTATATATACTTAATTATAATACACTTATACAATTTAAAATGGTTTTTCATAATACTATTAAGGAATTGTATTAAATTTTGCTGTATTTTTTTTTAGAGAGAAGATAATTTGAGTGATTTTCATGAACTTCCTAATGTAGAAAAATATCAGCATCTGTGTGGCAAAAAATTGAAATCTAAACTTAAGCATCATTTAAACAAAAATATCATCAACATAGAAAGAGTAAGCTTCTTCTTATTTTGATTTAATATCATCTAATTTTAAGAGTTGTTCTATGATAGGAGGAAAATAACAAATATATAACAGAAAAGAAAATTTATTTTTAGCATAACATTAAAGTAGGTGTTTGAAGATTTAATTTTCAGACCTACATTAAATTTATATTTTATTTTAAAAAGTTACTTTATATGCTATGTATTTATGTAGTTAAATCTTATAGCAAGCAAAGAAAGGAGACTCCAAAATTTCTGCCCTGCAATCATTACTTGCTGTATCTCTGTTGACTGCATGGAGATGAAATTTGTAATTTTTTTAATTTATGGTAATGGCATTTAGACAGTTGTGGCTGTTTGCCCATCGCATTGTTTTATTATAATCAAGTCTGATTATATTTTTAAATTGTTTCAGAATTGCTTGCATTTTAATGTCATTTACATAACTTCCATTTTCTTATGATTTTGCTAAAAAAGATATAAAAGGGAAAAGAATAATTTTAAATGAAGCTGCTTAATTCATTAAATTCTCTTATAATAGGGTACAAAAAAATTGTTAAGTTAAACCTGGAAATATATTGCCTAAAAATGAATATGCATTCCTCAGTCTCCAGAATTAGAATTTATTTGGTCCAGAATTTTCATAAACAGTAAATTGTAATTAAATAATAAAGTTAGGAGTAAAAATTCAAATAAATATCAAGTAAAAACAAAATGTCATATAAATTATTATTAGAGGATGTAAAGAAAAAGTAGGAATCAGAAACTGAAAAGAAAGAAATCTTGTGATTGCTCGAGATCAGAATTTTGTTTCCCTTTAAATATTTTGCATATAATTGTTTCTGTATTTGGGATTTATTATTCATTACATACTGATTAAGAAAGTTTTGGCCTTCTAAAGGAAAAATTTTATACTTCAGTGTTCCCTTAGGTTGCATTCGAGGACTGGCAATACATTGAAGATTATATTCTATTGTTCATCAGTCCTTTATACTTTCTCTCAAAGAACATGCTTATTTTTATTTGAAAATGTACCTATAAAATAGTCTGTTGTTTATTAGGGTGAAGGAAAGCACATCTGATTATTAGGGAAATAGAATGAGGCCAGAATTTGGGATCAGTGTAACAATACAATTTCATGAAAAGCAGTTCTACTCATACAATTCAAGTTTTATTTTCATAAATAGTTCCACACTTAGCAGCCATAATTTCATCCTTGTCTGGGAAGAAAAATAAGTTTCCTTTTCATTCATTCGTATAATATAAAAAAATTTCATTTTTTTAACAAATTTTGGTACTTGTGCATCAATCAAGAGCAGGAAATAAAATCACTAATTGAAAATTGCTAACTTAATTACTTACCCTATTGGAATGAAATAAGAATTTAATTTGAATAGAATAAATTTATCATAAAGCGTGACATAAGTATTGCTTCTTAATTAAAACTTTATTAATTTAAATTTTTAACCATGAAAATTAATGGTCAAAAGCAAGACATTTTGCAATGAAAAAGAATACTGTTATTAAACAGGAATTACGAAGAAAAGATATTTTTGTCATACAAAACATTTTGCAAAGAAAGAGAATTATGTTATTAAATAGGAATTACAAGGTAAACAAATAAGCAATTTATCATATCCGTTGTTAATTTTTATATTATGCAATTAATTTTTGTGTGACTAACTTAAAACTACCTATTTTTTTAATGGTGAATGTTTTCCTGACGTGAACTTTTTTTCAGGCTTTTTTGGTTTGTGACTGTGATCAAAGTGGTTTCATTTTGCCAGAAAGATTGAAGGATATTCTCAGCAATTTTTGTTTTCCTCTCTCAGATGAACAATTTGAAGACTTAGTTGCTGGTTTAAAAAAGTATGGTGACAGCTTAAACTATAAAGAGTTTTTAAAACTTTATAAAAAGAAGTCAAATGAAGTAGGTTTTTTTCCCCTCATTTTAATACTTTAAACTAAAAATTATCTAATTTTTAAAAAAAGGAATACTTGACTACTAGAGCTTTTAATTATTTTATACCTTTGATTTAAAATGAGTTCTGTATAACTGTGTGAAACAAGTATTAAATATTTAAACGAACTTTTTGCCATAAATGAAAGATAATTTTATGGCAATAAAGGGGCAGATAATTTTTGTCATACGATAAAGCTATACATGTAATTTGAATTTAGTGTAAATCAAAAGAATTTCATGTAATTTTATTTAAAAAAAAATAAATAGAAATAAAAAATAAAATTTTTATATGGATGGAGTATTAATAACTAATCCCTTTAACTATAAATCTTTTGTTGGGGTATGAGATTATTAAGGTAAATTACTTGTCACTGTGTTAAAACACATCTCTTAAAAAATAATATAATACTTTCGAAGAATAAGGAGCCCTATATTGATGAGAGTCTATATTGATACTTTCGAAGAATAAGGAGCCCTATTGATGAGAAAGTATAAAATAAGTCTATGCCTGAATTGATGAGAAATTTATGGCAACTGGAAATTTTGTGAACTTCTAATAAATCTGGTGGTAGTCTCAGCTTAGCAGACAGTGTTACCATAATAAAAGTTTGAGATTATGTAAAATTTGGTTTGGTTTATTTGATTATGGCAAAGCACTTGAGAGCTATCTGCCTAAGAGGAAGTATGCCTTTGTGGAGGATTTCCTAATTGAAACTTGCACATGTAAACTTTCCCGTGGAGAAGATCATGAAACACCCATGCAGCCAGCCTGTTTCCTGAGATTCAAAGTCCGAATTGAAGTACCAGTGTTTAGCAACTTTACCACTCAGCCACTAGAGGGCCCCATAAAATTTGACAGCAACATATTTAATTACTGTACTGTCATATTTAACCACTATTAATATATATTATTAAATTTAACATATTTAACATTATATCAACATGTTTCAGCCCAGATAGTATAGTGGTTAGGGGAGCATGAATCCAGGAGAAGGCATGGATGTAAAATTGTCTGTCCTTTCAATAGGAGGCAATGGTAGTCCACTAGTGGGTGCCTCCATAATAAAGAGACCACTACATCTGGCCTTAGAAGTGGCCGATGCTGGCATAGGCAAGCACCTGCCATTGGGGGGGGGACATATATATGGCTTGCCGTGGCATATGTGGAAATTATGGAATTCGTTTGAGGTAGCAAAAAAACAATTTAAGTTAAATCTTTGGCACAGATTTAAGAAGAATCCAAAGTTTCATGAGCATTGCAAAGATGTGATAGATCAACATTTATAAGAAGGTATCATGGAAGAATAAGACTAAATGAAAACTGAAACAATGCTTTTTAGTTCATCAAGCTGTAATTAGAGTAAACATAGGCACCACAATAATATAAATATATTTTTAAATAATGTAACTATGCATTTGTGGCTTTTGGGAAATATAGTTAAGACTCTCAGGCTTTCCTATTTACTTTATTTGTTAACATTAACTAAATATGATAAAATATTTTTCCTCCTGTTTAAGAGGATTGTGAGGTTCTTATGTTCTAATAAGTCTGACAAAAAAGAAAAGCTTAAATTCATCATTTGTTCACATTTGATTATATTTTTGATTTTCTGCTATTAATAATTTTTCAACTTTCAGATTAGGTCTAGCTAACTCATTTGGCACATATACCAAAGTTTTAAATTTTGCTTGAAAATTGCAAGTTCGAATATAGCTGAGCTATTTTCTGATTTTTTTCACTGAAAAAAAATGTTTTATTGTTTCTATAATTAATAGAATTCTGTTAGTATAAAAATATTAAAATTTTTACATGTAATGTGTAATATTTTTATGCAATAAAATTTATGCCAGTTAATTATTTATATTCATTATATAAATACAATTATTAGATTTTTATACTATTTATAAAATAATAAAATTTGTTTTTCCTCTTTAATACACTTAAAATGATGCTTTATAATAAATCTAATTAACAGCAATGTATGTAATAGTTTATGCTGTATAAAGTAATGATTTATTCATTTATTTAAATGAATGTTTGTACATATTTATATATGTGTGTGTGTGTACATACATGCATTACATTTTGCAATTAATTTCTTTCCTTTCATTGTGTGTGTTTATATATGTATATATGTAAGAAAAATAAAGAATATGTAATAGATTAAATTAGCAGCGAAAATTAATTCCCTTCTGCATTCTAAAAATAGTAACCTCTATTTGCACTGCATCATTTCGAGACTAATCCATGTCATATGACTCTTACATAATTCTGATGATTGTAAATGGAACTAAAACTCTTAACAGCCGATAGTAATGTTATAGCAGCATTGAAAACCAAAACTAACTCAGTCTGAATTAATATTTCACCCTGCCCATAACTCACTTGCCTTCAATGCTTTGGCCTAGCTAGGCTGCTGTCTGTCTGCTGCTTCCTTCTTGCTGCAAAGTTATCAAAATTGTAAACCTCTTGGAAAAGGCACAATTAATGTGCCAACTTGATTGTGGCCACAACATGTTTGCTGAAATAAAAGTTGAATTTAATATATTTTAACTGCCAAATTTCTTACTCGTAGTGAAGTGGCATTTCAGCATTCCCCGGAATTAAAACTCTGGCTGTTCATTATGGATTCAACCGCCTGTGTTCTACTACAGAATCTATTACATATATAATTGATAATGTTTTTACCCCAGAAAGTATATTATATGTAGCGTATTCGGAAACTAAGTACCGTTTCATTCTAGTGCCGTCGCACCGCTGTGGTAGGCGTCTCGCGCATGCGCACTAGTCTTTCTTGTTCACTGACTTTCAATTGTCGCCATTTTGGTTGCTCTATGTTGTGTTTTCAGTTTGCTGTGCACATTCAAAATGTTTAAGACAATTAGTTCTCCCGCTGATTGTGAGATTCGTGCCGTGATTAAATTTTCGAACGCAAGGAATGTTAAACCGGCCGAAATTTATCGTCAAGTGACAGAAGTTTACGATGAATACGTGATAAGTGATGGAATGGTGAGAAAGTGGGTAAGAATGTTTAATGCAGGTCGAACAAATGTCCACGCCGAGGCTCGGAGTAGTTGGCCTTCTGTTGTCACCGATGATTTGGTAAGGAAAGTTGATGAAGGAATTCATGAGAACAGACGCTTCACGATGACAACTCTTTCAGAGGCATTTCCACAAATTTCACGTACTGTTTTGTTTGAAATTGTGCCTGACCGATTGAATTATCGCAAACTGTGTTCCCGATGGGTTCCAAAAATGCTCACTGATGTTCACAAAACAAAGTGACTTGGTAGTGCCCTGACATTTCTCGCACGGTACGGTGATGAGGGAGAAAACTCTTTAAACCAAATTGTGACAGGTGATGAAACTTGGGTGTGTCATTTCACACCAGAATCGAAACAACAATCGATGGAGTGGAGACACACTCATTCTCCGAAGAAACAAAAGTTCAAAGTTAAAATGTCATCACAAAAAATCATGTGCACTGTCTTCTGGGATAGGAAAGGCGTTTTGCTTACTGAATTTCTTCCCAGAGGTGAAACCATTAATGCGGCACGATATTGTGAAACTTTAACAAAACTAAGGCATGCCATTCAAAACAAACGAAGAGAAATGCTCAGTAAAGGAATTGTGTTGCTCCATGACAATGCTCGGCCCCATACTGCTGGTGTCACTCAATCGTTAATTCGACAGTTTCATTCGGAGCAGTTCGATCACCTGCCGTACAGCCCGGACATGGCACCGTCCGACTATCACTTGTTCCTGCACATGAAGAGCGAGCTTGGTGGCAAGCGCTTTGGATCTGACGATGACACGAAAAATGCTGTGGAGTCGTGGTTATCGAGACTGGCGGGAAGTTTCTTTGATGATGGTTTACAAAAACTGGTCACCCGCTATGACAAGTGTTTGATCATTGGCGTAAACTATGTTTAAAAATAGTTTGACATGTATTTTCATGTAAAAATAAAATTGGATTCGAAAAAATTGTTTTACTTTTTTTTTTTTCCAAAACGGCACTTAGTTTCTGAATACGCCTCATAGTCTCGAAGCAGCATTTTGCATTGAATCATTTTACATATTATATTTAAAGAATCTAAATAGTGAAGAATCTACATGAATGTAAGTATGTTTCGCACATTGTGAAAAAACAGTAGTAAATAATCATCAAATTTTGTATAACATAGGCCTCCACCTGGAAGCCTGAATTTAAAATTTGTTCTATTGTTTATTTCATATTTTCTAAAACTTTAGCAATTATTTTGTTAAAAAACTCAACAATTTCAAAGTGAGCAGTGGCAACACTGTAGGGAAAAAAACATTTTTATCTCCGGTGTACAAGACTATCTATCGGAAATTCTAAAGATATGCTGTTTTTAAAGTACATCAGCCCAAATACTCCCAAAATGTGTATTTGTCTGTAAATGAAAAAAAAAAAAAAAAAAAAAAAAATGCCCATTTGGGGTGTAAAATAAAATCTGAAAGTTTTCAGATTTTTTTTAATTGATTATCCCCCCCCCCTTGCTTATGCCTCAAAGAACGGCTGTGTATCATTAAATAAGTTTTATGCATCCTCATTTCACATTTGTACAGCTTGCAATAAGTGCATATCATGTCGGTTTTCATTCTTACTCCCTAGTAAAATAGCCCTAGGTTTTTTTGGACACAATTTTTGTTCCTTAAAAGTCCTCTGTATCTGCTCTGCTTAATCCTTATTAATTTTGGCTGTAACCAGCAAAAGGCCCTTAGTTTTACCCATCTGACATTATTTCTTCTTCTCTTTTTTTTTTTTTTTTTTTTTTTTTTTGAATCAAAATGGCAGTCAAAAAAAAAAAAAGAGAGACTGCCGTTTTGATTGTGAATTAATAATTTTTGGTGATTTATTGAAAAATATGTACAGTCAAAAGTCATTAATTTGGACACCCATAATCCAGAATGATCTATAATCTGGACCTTAAAGCTAAAAACTTTCTGCGCATGCGCTGCGTTGACACATGCGCATAGGCATTTACGCGTGCACTTAAGACCTTTACGACTGCTCATATGTGTGTGCGCAAATGCAGAATACGTTTTCGCGTTTAATGTATAACGGACGGTATAAGAAAATTATCCAATTATCTATTTCAGTTAATGGTGATGATTGCGTTGTTCCTTAATCTTCGAACTGGATCCGGCTTATTACTTTTTTCAGACTGTTAAGAGCAATTTTATAAAAGTAAACTTGAACTTTCAATTATGTCAAATAGAATTTCCGATGCTGGAGCTCCCAAAGGATCTACAAAATGAAAGTATGTTTCGGTGTCCATCAAACAAAAAGTGGAATTGCTGCAAAAAATGGATAAAGACATGAAGAAGGTGACAGATAGGTTAGTGAAAACGAAAAAATTTCGATTGACAAGTTAGTCGGTATTCTCGGCACAGCAATTACGGGACTTGAACAGCGGAACTTTGTAACTGAACAAGAAATTATGTCTGTTTATAGAATTAAAGAGAAAGTATTAGCACATAAAACGAAGCAACTTAAACAACTTACATTGAAATAAATGTTTAATAAAGTAAACAAATAAATATTAAGCTTTTTCTTTTTGTAAATTTTGATACCCTTTAGATCATAATTGTTCTTTATTTCATAAATTACTGTTTCATATTTTTAATTTTAGAATTTCTGCATGCCATCTTACGAGATTTAAACTGATGATCTATAATCCGGAATCGCCGAAGTCCCGACGAGTCCGGATTAATGACTTTTGACTGTATTTGGGTTAAAGTTTTAATTCTTTCCTACTTTTTAATATATATGGTGAATACTTGAAGCATGAGACCCTGCTTTGATTGAAACAAACATTTCAAAGTCCCCCCCCACCCCCGAATGAAAAGTTCATAAAATATTACATCTTTTCTTTTTTGGGGATAGAGTTGGTGCTAAATCTGTGGTGCTAAATCTGGCGACTTATCAACATTTTAGCCATTTCAAAATCAGTTTGTATACAAAATTTTTTATTCAGAAATCTGCGAAATTTTGACTATTTTTGCAAAAATAATAGCAAATAATTATATAAAAATTAAAATATTATAAATTAATATTATAAAAATAATGATAATAAATTAAAATTATATTTAAGAAATAACATTAAAATGAAACATTATTTTCTCTTGCCATATTTTAAAGTGACATTATTTTCATTTTGGTGACTTTGAAATATTTGGATTCTGAAAAATGAGCAAGATAATAAATGCTACAAAGCACAGTTTCTGAAGCACTTCTTATAAAATACAAAAATGCTACTGTAACTATTTAAAAATAGATTTCATTTTTTAAAAATATTTTTCCACATTAAGAGTTTCCCATGTAATTTTTTTCGGAATATTTAAACGTGTATCAGGTTTCTCTAGAAAATTCACTTTATCCTCCTCTTTTCTGAATTTTTTTCCTGAAAATCTTCTGGCTCTTTTAGCTCTTACAGAGTTGGTATGGATAATTTTTCTTCCTAAAGGCAAGATTTATAGATTATTATTTTGAAGGCAAAATTTATAGATCTACATTTTCCAGAACAGTGTGACAAAATGAAAAGTGTTTCATGGTATTAACACGGATGTGTTCTATAGGAAATTTGTGGTGAATTACTTATCTTTTGGAGAATTTTTGGAAGAACAACGAAAAATTTGAATTTTTCTCCTTTTGATCCCAGAAGTCTTTCTCTCAGTATGTCTATCTTCCCTTTATTTTCTTATCTTTCCACTAGACACAAGCATCAAAGAAAGCAAAGAAATTGAAAACTAACAATTAATTTACAGATTCATCACATATGTGTCAGTGCATCATACATACCTCAGTGCATGCTCTAAATTCTAGATATTTTGCTCTAAATTTTATTGCTTAGTGCTTCAATAAATTCTAAAAATTCTGCCGCAGGCATCAACCTTGACTTCATATCATTTCATATTTATTTTCAATACTCATATTACTAAAGAAATAAAATTATCAGTTTATTCTATACACTCTAAGTAAAAAGCAGTTCTTTAGAATTACTAAAATCTTTAATTAAATATAAAAATTCTAAAATAAAGAGGAAATTCAGTAAAAAAGAAACTGGTTTTATATATAGAGAGAAAATTATTCTTCAAAGGTACATTGTTGAAACGTTAGCAAGGTAGGAGAAAATGTTAAAGAGAAGGAAATCAATGTAAATTAGCTAAAATATCTGGAAACTTTTGAAGTTAAAAAGTTGCATAAACATTTATTTTGTTTGTGCTACAAAGCATAAATGTTGTCTAACTTTTAATGTTTAGTTATACTAATATCATTTTAGAATCAATATCATAAAATTCTTCATCACCATCATCAATATCATAAAAAACTTCTGTAAAATGTTCTTGGTGCTTTTTTAACAGATATTTTTTAGAAATAGAAAAACACTGTAATTGTAACCATGTATGACTATCTAACTACATGATTTAATTATTTGTGACCAATTGCTCACCCCTAGAAGTTATCTCTACATTATTAAGGTGAATTATCTGCTCTGCTTAATCCTTATTGTGTATGTAAGATACAGCACAAAAATGGAAATATTAACATAAAAACCGATTCCTTACAGATAATGAGACTTGAAATAATACAAAACAACCTACCATCTTTGGTATTTAGTAGCTTATTTGAACTTTATTTTAAATACTGTATGTTAACTGGATCACAACTTCAGCAAATCTTCATGGAGATATGATACTAGCTGGGTTAAAGTGCAACTAGCTTTCAATGCCAGGCATTCACAGCTGTTCTGATCAGTGGTTCTCTGTTTCTGAGCAATAAACTGCAGTGTCGACAGCCAGACTTCTGTCATGCATCATGCTGATTATTATTTTACTTCATAATTTAACTAATGCCACTTAACATAAAATTTTCATATGCCTCTGTACTGAGCAAGTACATGGCAAAATGAAGCATAAAAGAAGCAATTAGTATATAAAGCTGGCTAGTAAAATTTAAATAAAAAGTCATTATTTTTCTCTAAATTTGTTGGACTATTATAAATGTTACAAGAAATTTTATACTGTAATGCTAATTACTTGGAAAAATTATGAAGTTAATTTTATTCTTGAATTTACATTGTAATTAAGTTAAATATTAGATTATATTTAATAAAAATGTATCCTATTTACAGATTTATTTTATTCTTACAAATTGCAAAACTGAAGTTATATAAGTGGTATTACAAAAGCGGTGTTAAAGTGTAGATAATTGTTTTAGTTTATTCAGTTCCTGTTGGTTTGATAGGTCCTTAAGTTTTTTTCAGTGATGGTCCTTAAAAGTGCTTAATTTTCCCATGCAGAAGTGAGTACAAACCCTCCAAGTATGGATATATTAAGCCAAGAAGTAGTTCTGAACTCTTTCATATTAATCATAATCCACACTCTATCTAACACAGCAGCAATAATCTGAATTTCACTTTGTAAGTCTGCTCACAGCTCACCAAAATATTAAATAAAGTAATCAATCAAACATATGGAAACATCTGCGATTAGTGCTAAAAATTGTATGCATGTATGCCTATATGCTACAGGTGCAGGATTACCACTTATCAAGTTTTATTCAAGCTTAAACAGATTACATTTTATTAAAAATTAAATTTTGAAAGTAGCAGAGAGAAGTGATGGAGCAGCAGAAAATTTGCAAAATCACATAGACATGAATTTTGCTAGCACAAGTTTGTCAAAAGTAGTAAATTTATGAAAAATCGCATGATCTGATAACACTGCACCTAACAAAAACCTTCATCAACAGAAGGTATTGCTGTGTGTTTGGTGGATCAGTGCTTATATTATGCACATCGAATTTCTAGAGAGTGGCCAAACCACCACAGCAGAGGTTTACTTGTTCCAGTTCCAAAGAGTGGCAACTGCACTGCATCAGAAGCAGTCAACACTATTTAACATGAAAGGAATGATACTTGTTCAAGATAATCTCAGACCTCATACAGTAAAAGTGACCCAGAAGCTGATCAACTACTTGAATCTCAGACCTTGTATAGTAAAAGTGACCCAGAAGCTGAGCAGCAGTTACTTGGGTGGGAAGTTTTACTTCATACGCGTTGCCTTCCAGACATTGCACCTTCCAGCTATCACATGTATTTTGGCCATATGTAACTATATGTTTGAGCAGCAGTTCTATATGCTGGTGATGATCAATAGTCCAATTTTTTAACTCTGTGAACAAGAACTTTTGCAAATATGAGAATAGATAAACCTGTAACTCAATGGCAACATGCAATGCAAGTTGCAGCAGATTATTTTCTAAAAGCATTTGCACAAAACTACTGGGTTGTTTTTTCTCATTACAACAATAGCACAAACTTTTTCGAATTCCTTGTGTTTCAGTAGGATTTATTCAATAGCAAAATTTAGATGTTGTGATTTAATTTTTGAATTGAATGGTAGAAATAAAAATAAACTAAAAATGCACTCTATTATTTTGTAGGATGCAGACAAATGGGTAGCTATTGTTGAGAAATTAGTTACTTATAAATCAAGATGTCCTCCAGAATTGCCAATAGATGAGGTTGAAGAGTTACTTCGTGACTGTGTATGTGCCCGAAAAAGTGCTATGTTGAAGGATTTCAAAACACTTGATGTATGCAATGTTGGAGTAGCTTGCAAAGATGATGCTAAACATGTCTTGAATAAATATGCTTTTCGATTCAGTGATAAACAAGTAATATACCTTAAAATGATTACTTTGCATATATCCATTTAAAAAATATTGCTTTGCATATGTGTATTTTTTGCCAATTATGAATTGAAAAATAAAGTTCCTTTTTTTTTTTTTTTTCTCAGTTTCATGAAATATGGAAGCGCTTTCCTGTCAACAAATATGATCAGTTGTTGTATGATGAATTTTTAGAAAAGTATTCTGCAAAATCTGATAAACTAGTATCCAGCAGCAACAAAAGTGTGCAATATAAAACTGGTGAAAAAGTTGAAGATGAGAAAGACACTGAGGAAAGAGATAAAAAAGAAGCAAGTAAAACGACTTGTGTTACTCGCAAAGCCCCAGAAATAAGAAAAAGTGCAAAGGTATTATTTCTGGACTTTGCATTTTAATCCATTCAAACATAATTTTAATGAACTCAACAGTGGCTAAGTATATAAGAATATTACATTTTAAAATAAAACTATATTCTTATTTGGCAAACTTTTTTTTTTAATTGAAAGCTTTGATAATGTAACTTTTATTCACTAAAGCAAAATTTTCCACTTTTGGCACCTTTCATTTATTTTGTTTATGTTTTCGACTACATAAATGTAAAATAAGATATTGAATTGTTTTCCCCTGTCACTTTTCCATGTAAATTTGTAGGTTTTATGGCAAAATTAGAGATTACATAAAATGTTTTATTTAAGTGATTTTTGAGGGAGTGCAATCACCATTTTTAGTTTTATTCTCAATCTAACTTACTTAATCTATTAATTATAATTAGTAAAATAAATGACAGATCATAAGTATAATTTTTAGAAAATATTCAAGAAATTAATATTCAAGAAATTCAAGAAAATTAATTATAAAAAATTTGTACATTTTGATTTTCTGCTTTTATTATATGTTATCTTTTGTTTCTGCTTTTGTTGTTTATTTGTTATATGTTGTCAAAAGAATGATTGTAGTAGTTAAAATTTAATAAGAAATTTGTGATAAATATAATGTAGCAACATTTTGCAACAGCAAAGTAATGAAAGTTTTACTTTTCGGCAAGGAATTTGATATGTTCTAATTATAGTTATGCCATTGTATATAAATTTACTAACAGATTTTTTTTTCCCTTAAAGTTTGAGTAATGAATTTAAGTCAGATAGATAGGGTGTATTGAAATATTTATTAGGTTTTTGACTACTGTATATTTTTAATGTATTTTCATTGAAATTTGCAGATTAAACTCTGTAAAATAAATAATGTGCAATTTTTAAAAGTATTTCAAGTTCAAGTATTTACTTTGCCATTTGTAAAAGGTGTCAGTTTGGGTTTGCAAAAAGCAGCATTTTATCACCAGACATATTAGAAATGTGTCCTTGGTATGTTGATTCAGTCGCAGAGGGGCCATAATGAAATCTGTTAAATGCTTACTTTTTTTTAATCAAGGTGAGATTGAAAGAAATCAGGTTATATAGAAAATGTGTTTTGTGAAAACTTATTGACGCTCATTTCGTGTTTTGAATATATTGTCATCATTGCTTTTAGCTTGGTAATTGTTAATTTTACTTATTTATTTATTTTGGGTAACTAACAAAGAAAGATATTTATAAACTTCTATTTAATTTTCCTGAAATCTGTGCATCTTTAAATAAATAGAAAGTTATTGTTTAACATCATGTAACCTTTGCATTTTCAGGTAATTTTGTATTCAAAGGCTCCACATTTAAAGCACATTTTTGATGCTATGGAAAGTGCCATTATTAGAAATTTCAGAAAAATTCGTTTTCATTTACATCGTGCTGATCCAAAAGTAACTGGTACTGTTGATTTTACAGTACTTAAGAATATCTTGGCGAAATCTGGAATATATTTCACCAAAGAAGAAGAATTTCACATCTTGGAGTATTTTGATGTTCATTTAAAAGGAAAAATCAATTATAGGGACTTTTTACGTATATTTGTATGGTATGCTTAATTTTTTTAATGTGACAGTCTTGTAAATTGAATTTTATTTTGTGGTAGATATTCTTGTAAATTGATTAAAATTTAATACTGTATCAAATTTTTTATTATTTAAAATTTGAAAATTTTATTGATTCAAATGGAATGTTTTATAACCTGATTATTGTAAATTCAGTATGTTCATATTCTGCTGGTTTTTATACAATTCTTTTATATCTATTTGTTTCAAAATCTGTTACTGAAATTAAATAAATCATTTATTTTTTATTAAAAATCATTTGATTACATATGAATTGCAATGATTTAAAAATGCGTAGATGAAAACAACAACCTTCAACAGCTTTCGATATTGCGTAGATGACTGAGAAGACCGTAATGGCTGAGTGGGAAGCATGATGACACAATTTAGCACAACATATCTTGAAAAATCACAATTTTTAATTTTTTTACGTATATCAAATCATCCTTTTGCAGATAAGACATTTCCTAATTATATTTGAATACAGTAAAATGCATTTTAAAGTACGACATCATTTTCGGCAAGAAAGCGGCAGCAGCATGGTTGAAAAGCGTCTTGCCAGCAGCAGAGCTTATGCGAAAAAGGGGGAAGTTATAGTACTTTCGGAGGAAGAAGGCTGGGAGTGGGAAAGTTTCAGTTCAGAGTTTTGGTTTGCAATTAATTTGATTGTACAAGAGGTATCTGCATTAAAACGTTATGTAAGATAGAAATATCTGGAAACTGTGAGAAGAAATGAAGTTAGGGGCAGATCACCAAATTTAGAATGTTAATTTTGAGGTCGCCAATTATTTTTTTGAAACAGCTGTCATATTTTGTTATATTATATTTATATATGTATGATTAAAACCATATACAGTTATGAACTGAAAAAAATATTTTCTTTTTTATTCACTTTATGCTTCTAAGGTCTATACTTAATACTTTAAAATTATACATATAAGTATAGGTATTGGTAGAATGAATTAAAATATTGTTGAAACTTTTTAATTCTTTTTCACTCTAATGTATTTAAATAAAATATGTATACAGTGGGAAAAGGGAATAAAACAGAAAGATGAAAGCAAGTACTTGAATGTAGACATTAGTTGTCCATTGATTCTTATCAATTTATCAAGCAAAAATTCTGAATTCACATGCTCGTTCTTAGCATTGGTAAGTCCTGCATTACAACTTTTCAATAACAACATATAAGTGTAATGACATTTTTTATACAGACAAAATCAAATACCAGCCAACTATATCTCAGTTTTTTATTGGCATATGAATTTACATATAACGACAATTGATCGTATTTTTTTTTTTTACTTATGCCTCATTAGTCTTTACCACACTTTCAAACTGTATCATATTTTTGGATAGAGGGAGTAAATAGCATCAGAGCAAGCTACAGTAAATTCTTTTTTTCAGTAATATGATGCCTATTACATATACAGTCGTTAATAATATATAAGTCGTTAATCCGGACTCGTCGGGATTTCGGCGATTCCGGATTATCGATTTTTCCGGATTATAGATCATCAGTTTAAATCTGGTAAAATGGCATGCAGAAATTATAAAATTAAAAATATGAAACCGTAATTTACGAAATAAAGAACAATTATGATCTAAAGGGTATCAAAATTTACAAAAAAAAGCTTAATTTATTTGTTACTTTATTAAACATTTCTTTCAATCTAAGTTGTTTAAGTTGCTTCGTTTTTTATGTGATAATACATTCTCTTTAATTCTATAAACAGACATAATTTCGTGTTCAGTTACAAAGTTCCGCTGTTCAAGTCCTATAATTGCTGTGTCAAGAATACCGACTAATTTGTCAATCGAAATTTTTTCGTTTTCAATAACCTCTATCACTTTCTTCGCTATCCGAAGCGAATTATAATGACGAGGCATTTGATTTAAATCATATCAAAGACACATCGAGTGAAATACTACATTGAGTAAGCAATTATAAGCCAAATAAAATAAAAACATCTGCTCTTAAGATAAGGATAGTGCTGGATCAACTTCCAATTCATTGCACGCCGCCCGGTGTTAAAGATAAACAATGTGTAGATAAACAAACGTTAAAGTTTACATAAACAAAGGATATGCCTTTATCCATTTTTTGCAGCAATTCTACTTTTTGTTTAATGGACTCCAAAAGATACTTTCGCTTTGTATATCCTTACATATTAGTAAATATATATCGGAAATTCTATTTGACATAATCGAAAGTTCAAGCTTACTTTTAAAAATTGCTCTAACACAGTCTGCAAAAAATAATAATCCGGATCCAATTCGAAGATTAAGGAACAACGCAATCTGCAACATTAACTGAAATAGATAATTAGATAATTTTAGCTTAGCTTATCCCGTCCGTTATACATTAAACGCGCATTCGTAAACGTATTTTGCGCACGCAAATTCGCAGCGGTAAAGGTCTTACGCGCATGCGTCAAAGCGACGCATGCGCAGAAAGTTTGTAGCTTTGAGGGTCCGGATTATGGGTGTCCGAATTAACGGCTTTTGACTGTACAACATTCTTACGTATTAAGTTAGTGGATAGGTTATTTACTTTCTTGTACGAAGTAAAGGAAGTATTGTAATCACAGAAAATTCTGGGTATCATTTTTCAAAGAGAATATCCATTTTGACCGCTATCGAATGCAATTTTACAATGCTTTTGTAAGGCGTCTGTATGTAAGGAAAGAATAAAGGACTCCCCCCCCCAAACACAGATTATAAAGTTGATTTAAAGGAGTTGTTTTTCATGGCGCATGTATGTACCATATGTATGTATGTATCCAGTGTTGCCAGAAAATTTTCAGCTAAAGTATCAAAAGCAGACTCAAAAAATCGCAAATGACATCAGAGATCACATGATGTTTGTGACGTCATAGTTTCGCATGCTCACATGATCTCTGACGTCACCACAAATTTACTATCCATTGCTTCTGTAAATTATAGACTGTATTCGATTCTTAGCCATTTTAAATACGTATCTTAGCTTTAACGAACCCATTTTAAAACTATATTGCTCATTTTCGATTATTTGAATAATAATTTCTTTTTTAAATAATTCTCATTTAATTTAGGTTTTATTTTTTAATTAATTTGTGCATATCCATGCTTAAGAGATTCCTCACGTTTAGATTGTTAGTGCTTTTGTACTAAATTTTTTTAATTGGCAGTTAATTTGTTTAATTCATTGTTTTTTTACTTAATTGTGAACATCTTAATTGAGGAATGTTTTTCAGTGAGTTTTCTGCTTTTCCTGGTGGGCTTATTTTAGATTCTGATTAATTAAGAAAGCCTTGTTCTTTCACGGTTAAATTTACTTGTGTTGTTATTTAGAAAAATGCCATGGCTTTCATTCTGAAGTCATTTCCATTGCTTAGCTCTTAGCAATATTATAATCAGGAAAATTAATTTGATTTCTTTCTCTGTTTGGGACCTAAGCTGCAAGTTCTTTTGTTCGATTCGTTATCACCATAGACCTGGACTTAAAAACAAAACTGACTTAAAACTTAAACTGAACTGATTTAAAAACAAAAAATAAAACAAAACAAAAAAAGGGGGAGGTGAGGGGTCCTGAAGCAGTTTTTTCCCCACTTTTCCCCCCTTCTCGTTATACCAGGGTCAGTCTGAGCAGCCTTTACATGTAAAATGGATGCCAACTTCTATTTGAGCCTAAATGAACTGTTTTTTCTAATGCAAATTATTTTTAATTGATACATTATTTTAACATGTAAGCATTTTATGATATATTAGAAAACTTTGAAGTCGCAAAAAGTAGCATAAGGAAATGGTGGAAGTCGCAAAATCGCAAATACGAAAGTTTTAGTAGCACAAGTTTGTAAAAAGTCGCAAATTTGCGCAAAATTGCATGATCTGGCAACACTGTATGTATCTTGCAAAACTCAAAAATGAGTAGCCTCAGAACAGTGAAATTTCATGCATAGAATTGCTATAACATGTAGTTGTACACATCTACACATCCCTTTTTGGTTACAATCAAAATCTATATATATATGTGCCCACTCTATTACTCGGCTCCACGAGTTCATTTTTTTATTCTTATATATTGGTAAATTGTGAATTTTTTGCTTTAAAAATGATTGAATTATGTTGTTTTTATCTTCCGGTTTAGTTCGTCTGCATGCATATTTGTAGAATTATCGACAATTTAAAAGTTGTTTAAGTGTGACTAAGCCTAATTTTTTTTTACCATACCAGCCTTATTTGTTTACATATGAAACACAGCAGAATAGTGAATGAGTCAGTTTCTGTACTTTCAGTGTCTTTTTGCTGAATGGAACCAAAAGTAAACTTTCAGTTTTGGGCACCAAAAATCAACCTTTTGCCTGCTAACCGAATTGCTGCTTTTGCACAGAAACTCTAATTTTCATTGTAGAAAAAAAAATTTTTTTGTTAACTGTTTGAACTCTATTTGGTGTTTTATGTTTTTCTATATTTTTCAATTTTTAATGAAGTTATTTTGTTGTTTTATGTATTTTTGCTTCGCCAGGAAGTGAGAACTGAATGAATTGAATGACAAATATATATCTAATAAATTTCAAGGAAATAAGTTTAAATGAAATGCAGCAAAAAATGTGTATAATGTAATATTCCATACAAGGAAGTCATGGTGTCTGCGTCATATTTTTTCCCTCCCAGATTTTTATTATTACACTAATTGTGGTAAAAATTTGAGCAGGGTATTTAAAGGCAGTTTGTGGTAAAAAAAAGTAACTTAATTTTTTTTCCTACAAAAATTCATGATACAGAAGTCAAAATTGTTTATGAGCACATCTAATAAATTTCGATTTGAGCACTTTTAGTTGCTCAGATTATATCAAATTTGGATTGTTGTGAAGAGATTCTCATCTCATTAAGTGGTGAATGCTTAGAATGCTTTTCCACCAATGTTAATGGATAATCATGATTATTTGTGCATTAAATACTTCCAGTGTATCGATGCTTTTTATAAAGACACATGGAAGCTTTTCTCCCTATTTTTTATGTTACTTTCATTACCATTTTGAACCAGACAGACAACATTAGTTATGTGTTGACACACATTAGTAAACATTTGTTATGAAAACTTATATTATTCTTTTATTTATAATTTAGTTTGATGGGTATTTATTATCAATGAGCTACTTTACATAGAAATAACTCGTGAATATCTCAACAGATAACATAAATTGTGTTTTAACATTTCAATCAGTGAAAACGTACTTGGCAGCAACTTCTGTTGTGTAACTCGCATTGGGAGGTGAGTTATTCTGTGGTTAGCGGAATGTTTTAAATTAAAGTATATTATTCTTGTAGTTCATATCGATCATAAATATCGTATTTACGCGAATCTAATGCGCATCGTTTTTGGCCAAATGTAGTATTCAAAATTGGGGTGCGCATTAAATTCGATGGCGCATTAGATTCGAGTGCAAAGTTCGCCGATGACGTCAACCAAATTTCTCGACTACATTTACCGTTACATTTATATTTGACACATTATTGCATAGAGGATACAAACTGCAGAGTACGTAGTCACGAAATGGAGGGCAAACAGAGAAGAATGTCATATGACGCTACTTTCAAACGTAAAGTAATTCTTTATGCTGAAAAAAAAATGGCAATAGAAAAGCAGGGAGAGAGTTCAACGTAGCTGAGAGCAATGTTCGCTTGTGGCGGCAACAGAAATTGGCACTGTTTGCAACTAAAACTAGTAGAAAGAAATTCACTGGCCCTCGCAAAGGAAGACACCCTAAAATTGAAGAAAACGTTTTGGAATTTGTACGT